AAAAGATTAAAATCTCTCAAATGAAACATATCCACATTTGAAAACATAATAAGACAATAAAATTAAATCAATTGAACCAAATTCATGAGACTTACTTTTTTGATATATGATTTTACTTGTCATTCATTTTTGTTTTATTGAACCAAATCAACCATTTGTCCACTAAACATGATTTTACTTGTCATTCAATTTTTTTTTTTTTTATTTTTTGTGTGCAAAAAATAGATATGTAAATAGGTTACTCCACATACTCTTAAAGGAGTAATGCCTCTTAGCACCCCACAACACATCTATAAGAGTATAAGAAAATTAATTAGATGAGACTAAATGCTAAGTAATATTAGAATTATTGAAAGTTTTGTCATACTAAATAATCATATTGAGTGACAACTACATACTACAAACGTCCCTATCGCTGTTCTTCTTATAGTAAATATACAAATATATATATATATATATATATAAATAAAATAAAATAGAAGTGATAAGTAGAATTATAATAAATAGTAAATAGAATCAAAATAAATGGTTAAGGTAGCATTTGGTAACGTTTGCTCAATAAAACCGTACTTACTATTTTATCAGACTTGACTTACCACTCATTTGAATCACACTTACTACTTAATGAGACTCTACTTACTACTTTATCAAACTTGACTTATCAGTCATTTAAACAACACTTACTACTCAATAAGACTCTACTTATTATTTTATCAGACTTGACTTAACACTCATTTAAATCACACTTACTACACAATGAGACTGTACTTACTACTTTATTAAAATCATACTCACTACTCAATGAGACTCTACTTACTATTCTATCAAACTTGACTTATCAGCCATTTAAACTACACTTACTAGTCAATGAGACTGGACTTACTATTTCATCAAAGTTGACTTACCACTCATTTGAATCACACTTACTACTTAATGAGACTCTACTTACTACTTTATCAAACTTGACTTATCAGTCATTTAAACAACACTTACTACTCAATAAGACTCTACTTACTATTTTATTAGACTTAACACTCATTTAAACCACACTTACTACTAAATAAAACTGTACTTACTACTTTATCAGAATCACACTTACTACTCAATGAGACTCTACTTACTAGGTGTAAAATGGACGGTAAGTGGTAAGTTGAGTCACAAAGAGTTGCAAGTAGAATGAGAATGAATAGAAAGTATTGTGTTTTTCAATGGTAATTAAACTCATTTAAACCACACTTATTACTCAATAAGACTGTACTTATTACTTTATCAAATTTGACTTACCACTCATTTGAATCACACTTACTACTCAATGAGACTCTACTTACTAGGTGTAAAATGGACGGTAAGTGGTAAGTTGAGTCACAAAGAGTTGCAAGTAGAATGAGAATGAATAGAAAGTATCACCACTACTGTCTTCCGTCGCCACCCACCCGCCACCACTGTCTTCCGCTGCCACCATCCACCACCACTCGTCACCATCTACCACCCGCCACGCTTCCCCCTCGCCACTACTCGCCATTTCTCACTCTTTTAGTTTATATTTTAAAATTTTCAAACATTTTGTCCAAACTAAACGCGTTTGTAGTTTATGTTTCTCTAAAAATAAACAAAAACTAGTTTATAAAATTTTTGTAAATATAAACTGAAAACATAAGTGTTACCAAACAGGCGTGCACCCTATCACAAAATGTGTAATTTTACTATAAAATTTCGTAACATCAATTACAAAATGTTGAACCTCGCTACAAATTGGCTTACTACAGACTTTACTTACTACTCAATCATACTCCACTTACTATTTAATCAAACCCCACTTACTACTTAATGAGTTTCTACTTACTATTTTATTACACTTCACTAACTACTCAATTTTGGTTTCATTCACTACTTAATGAGTTTCTACTTGCTACTTCACTATACTTCACTCACTACTTAATGAGCTTCCACTTACTACTTTACTAGACTCCACTTACTACTCAATGAGATTGTACTTACTACTTTATCCGAATCACACTTACTACACAATGATACTCTACTTATTACTTTATCAAACTTGACTTATCAACCATTTAAACCACACTCACTAGTCAATGAGACTGAATTTACTATTTCATCAGACTTCACTTACCACTCATTTGAATCACACTTACTACTCAATAAGACTCTGCTTACTACTTTATCAGACTTGACTTACCATTCATTTAAGCCACACTTACTACTCAATGAGACTATACTTACTATTTTATCAAACTTGACTTATCACTCATTTAAACAATACTTACTACTCAATGAGATTCTACTTACTACTTTATTAGACTTGACTTATCAATCATTTAAACTAAACTTAAGACTACATTTACTATTTCATCAAACTTGATTTTTTTCCTTACCACTTGAATCTCATAATTTTCTTTTAACTAGGTGAAATGTTGTTCCAACAAAACATAAAAATTTATAAATTCAAAATATAATGGAAGTGAAAGTAAAAAGAGAGAGACTTACCTAAGGAGTACCAAATGAATAACAATTCTATCTTAAAATCTTCAAAAGTTTTAAAAATGAACATCAAATTTTGTTTATGGAATCCTCAAATGAATTTTAAATTTTCCTATATTTTGTTAATGATATTTCTCATTAATTGCATTTATTGTGGTAGATGAAAAAGATACTAGGTTTCATTTATTGCCATTCATTTCCATTAAGTAGATAAATAAAAAAAATCATATTCCCTAAAATGAAAAAAAAATTATAGTAAAATTTATAAATTGCATATTTATTTTGTACAATTTTTTTTTGTTTACATTCTATTTTTATAAATTTTATATTTATTTTAGAGGTTAGGTGCATTTTATTAATGTTTGAATGGTAAGTATAATTATGTGGAATAGTAAGTACAGCTATATCTATTCACCCAAAAAAAAAAGTGCAACCATATCAAGTATTAAGTGTGTTTAGTTGTTGTAATAAGTTGGAAACCACCGATTTAAACCATAGGTACTATTTTATTAGACTTACTACTCATTTAAACCACACTATTCAAAGAGACTCTACTTATTACTTTATCAGACTTGACTTATCACTCATTTAAATAACACTTACTACTCAATGAGACTGTATTTGCTACTTTATCAAACTTAACTTATTACTTAAACAACACTTGCTACTCAATTAAACTCTACTTACTAGTTTATCAAACTTGACTCATCACTTAAACAATACTTACTACTCAATGGGACTCTACTTACTATTTTAGCAAACTTGATTAATCATTTAAACTAAACTTAAGACTGCACTTACTATTTCATCAAACTTGATTTTTTTTTTCTTCTTACCACTTAAATCTCATAATTTTTCTTTTAACTAAGTGAAATGTTGTTCCAACAAAATATTAAAATTTATAAATTCAAAATATCATGGAAAGTTAAAGTAAAAACAGAGATAGAGACTATAGAGACGTAGATACTTTGTTATGGAGTTCCAAATCAACGACAATCTTATCTTCAAATCTTCAAATATTAAATTTTTTTAAAAATAGACATAAAATTTTATTCATGGAATCCTCAAATAAATTTTAAATTTTCCTATATTTTATTAATTATATTTCTTCATTAATTGCATTTATTATTTTCAAGTGTGGTATATGAAAAGGAAACTAGGTTTCATTTATTGCCATTAAGTAGATAAATAAATAAAAAAAATCATATTTCATAAAATGTAATAAATTATAATAAAATGTATAAAATTCACATTTATTTTGTATATTTTTTTTCTTAAACTATATTTTATAAATTTTATATTTATTTTAGAGGTTTTGAAAATATATTATAACTTAATTTTTTAAGTTTACTTGTTACCTGAATAGCAAGTTAAGTGTATTTTATTAATGGGCAAATTACACTAACAGTCGCTATAGTTTAGAGCTCGTGTCACTTTAGTCCCTGACTTTTTAATTGTGACACAATTGATCCTGAATTTTGAATCTTGTTCTAAATAAGGACAATTGAAGATACCATTGGACTTTTCAAGGGCAAAATCATCAATTTGATAAAATATAAATTAATTTGACAAAAATAAATGTCAAAAAAATATTTTAAAATTTTTCAAAATTATTTCTACCCACCAAAGATAAAATTATGTAAAATTAATAAATCTTTTAGACATTTATTTATTTTATCAAATTAAATTTTATTATATGTTTGGATGATTATCATGTAATGAGTGGTTGTTAAGTTTTTAATATGTAATCGATATATTTAATATATGAAATATTTTTAGTTTTGAATTTTTTGATTTAATAGATTGTTTAATAATGATATCAAATTTGTCGCCATACTTGACTTTTGAAAAAATAGAAATTAATTTAATTAAAACAAAAATAACCATCAATTACATGATTATCATCCAAACACATAATAAAAATTAATTTGATAAAAAATAAATAAATAAATGTCTAAAAAATTTATGAATTTTACATAATTTTATCTTTAGTGGATAGAAATAATTTTTAAAAATTTAAAAATATTTTTTTTACGTTTATTTTTGTCAAATTAATTTATATTTTATCAAATTGACGATTTTACCCTTGAAAAATCCAATGGTATCTTCAATTGTCCTTATTTGAAACACGATTCAAAATTCAGAGTCAAATGTATCACAATTGAAAAGTCAAGTATTAAAATGACACAAAACCCAAACTATAGAGACCATCAGTGTAATTCACCCTTTATTAATAATTGAATGATAAATATAATTATTAAAAATAGTAAGTACAATCTGATTAAATAGTAAGTGTACTTAGTTATTGTGGTAAATTAAAAATCACTTTTTAATTTCAAAATCATTGAAAATTACTTTATTTTTTACAAAACTACCTACATATTTTAACCTGATTTTAATTGTTACTAATTAATAGTTAGATTTATTTTAAATCTAGTGGTCTAAATTTATTTATGTATGATACATAAAAACCACCTTGATGTATCATAGAAAAATCCAACAGAAGGGGGGAGAAAGTCAGCAATCACGTCTCTGACCTTTCTTTTGATCATTGCTCCATAATTTTTATTGCATATCTTCTTTTCCAACAATCCTATGCAAAGAAGTGTTCATTTCTCTCTGATTCTCAAACATCTCCAACTAAGCTTTGGCTTCTTCACTAGGAATGGAGCACAAGTCTCAAATCCAAGTCCCAAGAGTGAAATTGGGCACTCAAGGCTTGGAGGTAAAAAAGCTCTGTTTTTCAATACCAATCAATCATGTGAACATGTTGAGTTTTATATGGGTTTTCCTAATCTATGCTCAACAACTGTGAAACATACAAGTACCATGAAATTCAATTGGCAATTTCTAATGTTTTTTACAGTTGATTTGTGTCTATTTCTATATCAGTCTAGAGCTAGATCACAATAACACTTGAACCTGATGTGAGTTTACTGGTTTCACCAATATAAATTTCGAACTTCTTTCTCATACACCCAATTTTGATAGGGTTAATTACATAAACACCCTTCAATTATCTACTGAATATTACTTCACCCCTCAAATAATCACACCTACAAGTTGCACCTTTTCAACCTTAAAATCCAATCATCTAACTGTTAGTTCTGTTGGCCACTCTTATATGCTCTCAACTGATAAGAAATCAAATTGTTTATTTCCTTCCCATTAAAGAATTGCCTTTAGTATTTTGTTCTTTCCCGTTATGACGGTTTTTCTTATACTATGTAGTTGTGTGTTGGGCTTACGGGTATATATTATTGGAATTTTTTAGATAGTTTTATTGTTCAGTTTGTTATATTTGTTAGTTATGCTTTTGCTTAGACCTAGGAGATCATATGAAAGTCAAAGGTAATGCTAAGTTTGGTTTGGTAGTGTTTTCATTTTTAGTTTTTTGTATCTTTATTTTTCAGAAAAGACAAAGTTTTTTTGGGGAATTACTTCCAAACACAAATTTTGACAAATTTTTCTTTAAAACCACACGTTTTTAGGGAACACAAAAAAAATTTAGAATTTTCAAAATCTGTTTTTGCAGAAAAATGACAATGATGTGAAAATGATCAATGGCGCTGTTTGGGAAGCACGAAATGAGGCTATTATAGCTTCATTTCAGAAAAAAAGCCCAAAAGCATCACTGTTCATAATTTTTCAAAAAAAAAAAAAGGGACTGCTGCCCGGACAGTGTAGGCTGTGCCTACACTGTCACAGCCCCAATATGTTACATCAACAGCTAAATTACCGTTTTGCCCATTTATATCAATTTTAAAAATTATAATTTTAGGGACAAATTTGTCATTTTAAATTCAAATATCATTTCAACACATTTTTTAATACAACAACTTAAATAAAATCTATCTCATCTTCCCAAACACAAAAACTAAAATAGCCTACTAAAATAGCCAAAAAGCTTACTAAAATAGCCACTTCCCAAACGAGGCCAATATTTCATTGTGTTGTTTAAGAAAACACACACACAATAATAATAATAATAATTATAATGAGAGGTTGTTCTCTTTGGCTTTAGATTTGCACTTGATAAGCGAAGAATATGTGCCAATCTAGTTGGGATGTGCTCTTCTACATTGATGCACTTCTCTTAGCCTCTCTCATTGACATACTATTGATGTGTTGATTGTACTCATTTTTTACACTAGTGAAAAAAAGAAAAAGAGCACAAATGAAACGAAAACAAAGAAAACCAAAAAGAAACAAAACATTTCAATGTGACGGCGGTGTCCTTTTTGTCATGCAGGTTTCCAGATTGGGCTTCGGATGTGGAGGGCTTTCTGGAATTTTCAATGCTCCACTCTCCCATGAAGCTGGATGTTCAATTTTAAAGGAGGCTTTTCATAAGGGTATCACCTTCTTCGATACATCAGATATCTATGGAGAAAACCATGACAGTGAGATCATGATTGGCAAGGTTAGTTAGTTTTCATTTCTTTTTTAGTTCAAACTTAACATGGAATATAAAAAATGGACCAATATTTTCAACAAAGCCTTTAAGTTGGATTGTTTGGATTATAGCTTAAAAAAAGCCGGTGCAAGATGTTTGACAAAACTTATGCAGTTTAAAGGTATGCTTTTCCGGTTTAACTCTTATAGCATTTGGATGTTGGATAAAAAGGGCCCTCAATATTATCCTAGTTGCAGGCGTACCCCTTAAGAAAAAGATTTTCTTCATTTACTTAAAAAAAAATTGTAGCATGGGAGTCAGAAAGTGAAGAAGAAAAGGAAACATAAATCACATGACCGACCTAATATTGAAGCCAGTATACAAAACATGTTCCCAATTGCATTTTGTTCTTGAATTATCAACCAAGTCTTTCCATTTCAGGCATTGAAGCAGCTTCCTCGGGAACAAGTTCAGTTAGCCACAAAATTTGGTGTTGTCTCGATTGATTGGAGTCATATGGAGGTCAAGGGTACCCCTGACTACGTGCGACAATGCTGCGAAGCAAGTCTCAAACGGCTTGATGTGGACTATATTGATCTTTTCTACACACATCGCGTGGATATATCTGTTCCAATAGAGGATACTGTAAGCAAGAGAGAATTCATTTTATTTTTAATTTATGTACATACTAGATTGCAGTAAATCATTGAGTTGGTTTGCTTTGGATTAATGAGATGAAGATGGGGGAGCTCAAGAAGCTAGTGGAGGAGGGAAAAATAAAATACATTGGATTATCAGAAGCCAGTGTTGATACAATAAGGAGGGCACATGCAGTTCATCCGATCACTGCCGTAGAAATGGAGTATTCTTTGTGGACTCGCGATATTGAAGAGGATGTAATTCCACTTTGTAGGTTAGTGAATATAAGACCCTTTTTTTTCATTTACAAAAAAAAAAAAAAAAAAAAAAACACCAAAATTGGTTTGTAGGGGTGTAACTGGTTTGGTTCGGTCAGGTTTAAAAGAAAATTTAGCACCATATTGAACCCTTCAATTTTTGTTATTTGAGGCATCAAAACTGACAATATACTACGATTTAGTTTTGTTAGTTTTTCAGTTTAGTGTAAATGACGGATTGACTAGAAGTTTTAAGGAATTTATAAAAATCTATAGAATCCCACCTCAGGAATAAATGAAGAGAGATGGTGGTGATGCTCTGTAAATGTAATGTTATTGCAAAACCTTTAGTATTGGCAATTTATTTTCTAGCTCTCAAAAAATTAAATTATAAAAAATATGTAAATATAATATGTCAGTTGGTACAAGTGTAAAATTTTTCAAAACTAAAATAGATTGTTTAGCTTATGAAAGCCAGAAATTTTGATCAGCCTTGGGTGGTCAGTTTGGCCTCCGATGAACCAAAAAACAAAAAAACAAAGCCATTGATCATGTTATGATCTTTAACTTATTTTAGACTTAAAATGTAGAGACTATAACAGCGTGTTTAACCTTTCTGGCCCTCCAAACACAGGGAGCTTGGAATTGGGATAGTGGCATATAGCCCTCTTGGTCAAGGGTTCTTTGGTGGGAAGGCAGTTGTGGAGAACTTGCCTGCAGAAAGTGTGTTGGTATGTGACAAGACAACATATGTATTTATATATGGGTAAATTACACCTTTAACCTCTGTGGTTTGACGTAAATTTATTTTGGTCCCTATTGTATCGTTTTTTTTGGTTCACGGTTGCATTTGAGTTTGTTGTTACAATATGTTTTTTTTTAGGCTATGCATCCAAAGTTCACAGGGGAGAATTTAGAGAAAAACAAAATTCTATATGCCCGTTTTGCAGAGTTGGCAGCTAAACATGGCTGCAGCCCTCCTCAACTAGCTTTGGCGTGGCTTTTACATCAAGGAAATGATGTGGTTCCAATCCCTGGTATGCCATGCTCTCTATCTTTTTTTTTTGGTCTGTAGCAAAAGAGAAGTTTAAAAAAAAAAAAAGGAAGAAGAAGAAGAAGAAGAAGAAGAAGAAGAAGAAGAAGAAAAAAAGTGAGGATACAAAATCGTCATCAAATGAGAAGAAAAAAAAAAGACAATACCAAAGCTAGAAGAGCAACAACTTATACCTAAAAAATAGCTCTCCAATCTCTGGAGGTCAAAACGAATGAAATCCCTTTAAATAGGGTAGAAAAGGTAGCCAAAGACATTGCTAAGTGGCACACTCTTTGCCACACCAACTCCTTGTCATCAAACTTTGTCCACAAAGATCCTTTCGTTCAAAAGATTGAGAGTACAATACAAAACCACAGCACTATTGCTTTCACCTTACATCGCTTTCAATATCTTCTTAGGTAGCTTTACTAGCATTTCAGTCAAAAAAAAAAACAAAAGAAGAAGAAGAAAAAAGAGAGAAAGAAAGGAAAGACTCATGATTTATCAGCATTCCTAGAGGTTGTAAATACATTTGCCAAACATACGTAGTTTTGAACTAATTTTTCGAAGTCATGTTGTTTTGTGAAGTCATGTTTTTGAAACATGACTTCAAAACTACACCAAAAAAAAAAACAAGAAAAAAAAGCACGATTTCAAACTTAAACACAACAAAAGATGACTTCATTAAAGTTGTGTAGAAGTCATGTTTTGAAAACTTGATATCAGAAGACAACCTGGGTTTGATAATTAAGATCAAAACGACCAGTGTTTGGTAAATAATTTTTGAATGAACTTGGGTTTAGTTAACCTCTAAAAATTAAGCATACGAATATGGTTTGGGATATAGTGCAGTTTTTGCTTGATCAAATGTTTCCTGATTCTTACTGTGATTATGCAGGCACAACTAAGATTAAGAACCTTGATGCTAACATTGGATCTGTGGTGGTGAAGCTTACACACAACGATTTAAAAGAAATTTCTGATGCAATTCCAGTCAATGAAGTGGGTGGAAAGAAGGAGCTCAATCTCTTATTTAAATTTACTTACAGGTCTGCAAATACCCCACCAAAAAATTAACTTGCAAGAACAAATGTACTCAAATTCGAAGCTTCAAAACTAAAATGTTTATGCTATGCTTTCTTATATTCTTGTTACTAAATGCTCTGTTGCTAAACACGGCGAAAAACTTGAAAACAATGAAAGTGCAAAAGAAGTTCTGTTGCCAACAGATCACCTATCGTTTGTAAAGTGATTGTCACTGTATGTTATTTTCTTGGTATGTTAGACTGTGTTTGGTGCTGCTTACCAGAGGATCAAAAAGGTTAAAGGCTAGAATGGTAGAAGGAGAAAGCCAATGCAAGAGAATCCATTCTTGTGAAGTTAAGCATGTTAGACAAACTGAACTAAGCGAGCTTGACTGGAGATGGTAAATGGCCTGTTTGAGACCGTTACCTCACAAGCCGAACTAAAATCCATTTTAAAGCTTACTACGGAAGCTCATTAGCATCTCGTAATAAAAGGCAGTTCAATACACGAGGCTCCTGCCATTGTAGGGTTACAGAAGGGTCAGATACACGAGGCTTCTTTCATTACAAGGTTACAAAAGAGTTAGATATATGGTTTTATTTTGGAGAGATTGTTTGAATCCGTGATACCCAAGTTGCAACGAAACAACATGACCTTTGTACCAAGACCCATCCTCTGTTATCACACCCATACTAAAACACAAAAATGAAGCAGTTATTCCAGCTTGAATGAAATTGACTTCATATAAATTTCATTATAAAATTTGAGAGATAAACAAGGCAATCTGCCCCAAACCTAAAGTTAGCTGAGAAATTAAAAAGATGCCCTTCCATATTGTAAGCATATTAGAAAGGTGGGAGTTTCATTAATAACCCCACTTGAGTTTTGAGTTTGAAAATTTGCAAGAATTTTGTGGAGGCAATCTTGATAAGAATCTTGAAATACGTTTTATACATTACGGATAAAATTGAAATATTATTTTTTATATATTGGATTAGGGATTAAATTGACACAATTTAATTATTAGGGACAAAAATGACACAAAATTCATACTCTAGGATCAAAATGTAATTAACCTTTAGAAAAGAGTGCTGCTATTAGCCCCCTATAAATTATTTTGGAACCCTAATTTTTAGCTTTTTTTTTTATTATTATAATAATAACCTCAAATAAAATTACTACAAAGGGATCATAAAAAAAATGTCATAAAGATGATCATGAAAGATTTTTCACCTTTGGATTATGCATACAATAAAACACCACACACTAATCAAATGATGAAAAATTTTCATGATGCATTTCATGATATTTTTTTCATGACCCCTATAAATACTTCTTAATTTTGGGACACCCCATCTCACAATTAACCTACACACCCACTCCATCATGAATTAGGGTTTATGAGAGCACTCACCTCTATTACCACCCATCCATCGTCCCCAAATCTCACCTTCAAAACCTACCCACCCTTAAAACCTTAAAAATCCTTTGGTAACAATATTCCGGCGGTAACGGTGGTAACCATTTGATTACCTACACTTCTCCGACAATAACAATGAGTGGAAGTTTGTCTAGCAACCATAACTCCATAACAATAAAAGCTTAGAGGAGATTCATAACTTGATATTGTTCTTAGCTCAGAGGAAATTGGCCTTATGAGGGTAAGTTTCTTGAAAAAAATATTAAAAATAATAAAATTTGTTCGTTATTTTTTCAAGACTGAACTCCTGAACATATAATCGAAATTTGAAAACACAAGCCCGAACATTGTTTATTTGTTTGGGGACCGGTAATCGAACATTTATTATTTGTTTGAAAACAGGTAACCGAACATTATTTACAGGTTTGGATTTGTTTTACTGAGAAAACTAAACCAATCATTATAATGTTTTTCCGTAAGAGAAGAAATTATTATGAGAAAATTAAGAAATTATGTGTGTGTATATATATATAGAGAGAGAGAACATACCAATTGTGACAATAGTGGATGAGACAGCCGAGACAATAATTACATTGCCTCATCTTCTTCTTCGTGGGTTTTGTTAGGATTTTTTTTGGAAGTGAGATTTTTTTGAGTTGCGAGGGTGTGCATTCAATGAGTGAAATATTTTCACAAAGATAATTTTAATATTATTTTGAGAGAATTTTTTTTTTTTTTGAGGGTTTCAAAATTTATAAGTAGAAATTCAAACAAATAGGGGATTCAAATGGATAATAAAAATGAATTTAATCCAATTTTTTATTTTTAGGATTAGGGGAAGCACATAATAAACTTGAGGGAAGAACAGAGGGAGCAGTCTTAGGTGATTCCAGCTGCAATGAAAATGAAAACATAACGACAGGAGAGAGGGAGCCAACAATCTTCCCTCTTGCCTAACATTTTCATCTTTGTAGCATCTTCTTTTCCAACACTTGTGTGCAAGAAGTGTTCCTTTTTCCTTGAAGCATCTGCAACTAAAGCTTTGGTTTCTTCACAAGGAATGGAGCACGAGTCCAAAATCCAAGTCCCAAGAGTGAAATTGGGTGCTCAAGGCTTGGAGGTAAAAAAATAAATAAAAAAAAGCTCTGTTTTTCTTTCCCAATTATGCGAACATGATGAGTTTTAAATGGGTTTTTCTAATCTATGCTTAACTTCTGTGAGATATACAAGTACCATAAAATTCAATTGGCAATATCTAATTCTTGCAGTTGATTGGTATCAATTTCTGTATCAGTCTATAGCTAGATCACAAGAACACTGGAAACCTAATGTGGTTTCACCAATATAAATTTCAAACTTGTTTCTCATACACACAATTTTGATAGGGTTTATTACATAGAACCCTTCAATTATCACTTAATATTACTTAATCCTCACCTAAAACATCCTACAATTTGGACCTTTTCAATTATAAAATTGAATCAACCAACCGAGTTGGTTTAGTTGGCCACTCTTGTATGCACTCGTAGATTAATCATTATCAAGACAAAGATTATTTCTTTCCCATTATGAGATTTTTTTTCCCCCCCTTCCCCGTTATGGGGGCCTTTCTTATATTATGTAGTGGTTGTTGGTGTTGGGCTTGCGAGTATGTATTGTTAGACTTTCTTAGATAGTTGATTGTCCAATTTGTCGTAATTGTTTTGATATTTGTAAAATGTAATATTCTCTTCCCGATTGACCCAAAAAAAAAAAAAAAAAACTCTATAAAATTGAATCACTTGCGCCGCCCAAAAATGGGGCATTTATACAATTTTTATGATTGAAGGATCCAAATTTAGGGTTTTTCAGTTGAGGGATCAAGTGATGTTGAATGATAATTGAGACCAGTCCATATAATTAACCCCTTTAGATAATAGAAAAATATCTCCTTATGGTTTTCTGCTGGTAAATTTGAGAATGAAGTTTTGAGACTTGATCTTGCATCTGCAAGCTGTAAAAATTGCACTCAAATTTGTTTGGCTTCCAAAATTTCAGTTAGTATTACTATATGATAGTATCTATGACATGGTTTTTGGCAAAGTCAGTTTTGGGAAATTTCTTCAAGGTAAATTGTATGAAAAACCATTCTTCCCTGCTATTGGTGATTCAATTCCTATATCATTTATAGAAAGAAGAGGTTCAGCTGAGTTTTCATGAATATAGTTCAATCCTCAGCTGTATCCATACTAGAATTTAGAAGTCTTGTGTTTGGTGGCCTTGAATGATATGTATGGATGGGACTGCACCAAGTGCTATCTTGACTGGTGATAATAACTGCATAGACTGAACTACTTGGGCCTCATTTGGATGCAGTTACTTTTTCAATTCTGAAACTACATCTGAGTGCCACTGAGAACTATGATGTTTGAATTTTTGCAGACAAAGGTATAGAACAAGAAGCAAAAAATGCTCTCAGAACTGTGAAAACAGGGAATACAAGTGTTTTTTAAGTATAAATTGTGGATCTTGTGTTTATCCAAACTTTCTTTTAAGTTCAATTAGAAGCACTGTGGTTCAGACAACTTCGGAGTTGGACAAGTACATAGATTTTGCCCAAGATATCTATGCCCTGCACTGTACTTGAGAAGTTTAGTACATTTTACCGATCATGAAAAGTTCTCAGTTGTAACTTAGTTATGCTTTTCTCGGACCTAGGAGATAATATGAAAATCAAAGGTAGTGTTAAGTTATGTTTGGTTGTGTTTTTTATTTTTCAAAAAACACAACTTTTTTGAGGAACTAGTTCCAAAACAATTTTCGACAAAATTTTCTGAAAACAGCACATTTTTTGGGAATACTAAAAAGGTTTAGAATGTTCAAAAACTGCTTTTGCACAAAAATGAAAACAATACGAATATAATTGATGCTCTCAAGCTTTTCATTGTTTTGTTTTAGAAAACGCAAAAAAAAAAACATAATTAGCTTATTCTCTTAGGTTTTGGCTTTGCACATGATAAGCAAAGAGCTTGTGCCAGCCTACTTGGGATGTGCTCTTTTGCATTGATGCACTTCTCTTAGCCTTCTCTCATTGATACTTTTGATGTAACGATTGTACTCATTTATTACATTAGTGAATTTTATTTGCCAATAAAAAAAATCCTAAAAAAGAACCAAATATTTCCATGTGACAGTGTCCATTTTGTCCTGCAGGTTTCTAGATTGGGCTTCGGATGTGGGGGACTTTCTGGAATACTAAATGCTCCACTCTCCCATGAAGCTGGATGTTCAATTTTAAAGGAGGCTTTTCATAAGGGTATCACCTTCTTCGATACAGCAGATGTCTGTGGACAAAAACATGACAATGAGATCATGATTGGCAAGGTTAGTTTTCATTTTCTTTGTTAGGGACCAATATTTTCCAAATGTTTGTTTGACTAATTACATAGAGGCTGTTTACCAAAGCTTTTAAGTGGGAATATTTGGATTATAGCTTTAAAAAGGTTGGTGGAAGATGTTTAACACAACTTATTGTGTTCAACCTGAGAAGCATGGACATAGACATGCGACACACTGGCATGTCAATTTTCAAAAAATGAAGGACACGACATGTGGAGGACACACAAAAATATGGTTTTATATATTTATTGTATGTCATACATATTAATATTTTATTCAAAGAAAAAAAAATTGCAATGTAACACTAATCCTAGAGTATAAAGGAAGGATTAATATGTATAAATCTATATTGTTTTTCTTTTATCATTGTATTATTTTGGTCAAATTTATAATGTGCGTCATGTGTGCCTACGCAATATTCGTGTGTTCCCCAAGTGTTTGAAGCACATCTAGGTCTAAAAACTAAAAATAATAATATGTCTCATTTGGACGTGTGTCCGATAGATGTTGGGAAGTATTCGATGAGTGTCAATGTTGGACATAGACATACAACTTCTTAAAAGTGTCCGTGCTTTTTAGTATTCAACTTATATAGCTTAATCAACTTATTTTTAGCAAAAAAGCTAGCTTTTTAAGATGCAAAAGGGGTGCTTTTCCAGTTTAATTTTTTTAGCATTTGGATGTTGGACAAAAAGGCGCCTAATTATTTTCATTATTACAGGCGTACCCCTTTAAAAAATATTTTCTCGATTTACATAAGAAAGATTCGTAGCATGGGAGTTAGAAAGTGAAGAAGAAAAGGAAGCATAAACCACACGATTGACCTACTATTGAAGTCAGTATATTAGAGCAGCTAATTGTTTTTATTATTCATATGGCAAAAGAATAGGTTCAGCTGAGATATGCATATCATGGACAAAATATGCTTCCACTTGCATTTTGTTCTCAAATTATCAAAAAAATACTCTTATCCATTTCAGGCACTGAAGGAGCTTCCTCGAGAACAAGTTCAGTTAGCCACAAAATGTGGCATTATCTCAGTTGATTGGACTCATGTTGAGGTCAAGGTTACCCCTGACTATGTGCGACAATGCTGTGAAGCAAGTCTCAAACGGCTTGATGTGGACTATATTGATCTTTTCTACACGCATCGTGTGGACTTGTCTCTGCCAATTGAGGATACTGTAAGCATGAGCGAAGATCTACTTTTACTGTTCTTCATTTGTAATTAATTTTATTCTTGTTTTTCCTACATAGTAGACTGCAGTAAATCATTGACTTGGTTTGCTTTGAAATAATGTGAGGAAGATAGGGGAGCTCAAGAAGCTAGTGGAGGAGGGAAAAATAAAATACATTGGATTATCAGAAGCCAGTGTAGACACAATAAGGAGAGCACATGTAGTTCATCCTATCACTGCCGTACAAATGGAATATTCTCTGTGGACTCGTGACATTGAAGAGGATGTACTTCCACTTTGTAGGTTAGTGGATATTGGACCCTTTTTGTTACATTATAAAAACAAAAGCTAAACCAACTGAGTTTGGGACTAGCCTAGTTAGTCAGAACCCCTACACCTCACTAGGAGGTAAAGGATTCGAGTCTTTCCACATGCAAGACTCCCCCCTTCCTTAGGCTATGGCCTATAGGGGTGTAAGCGGTTTGATTTTTGTCAGTTATGCAGTTTATTATAAATGATGGATTCAAAATAAGTTTTAAGGGCTTTATAAAAATTCATACAATTCCACATGGGGAATAAATGAAGAGAGATGGTGAGGATGCTTTGTTAATGTCTTTCCCTCCCTAACCTTTATTGCAAAATGTATGGTATTGTCATTTATTGTCTAATACTCAAAAAATTAAAACTTAAAAAATATTTAAATATCATATTTTGGTTGGTTTGGTTGGTATCAGTGTAAAATTTTTCAAAATTGAAACAAACTGTACATTATGAAAAACTAAACATTTGATCAGTGGGCTCAGTTCGGTTGGTTTTTCCTGCAGTCCTAGCAACCTCAGATGTACATGTTATGATCTTCAACTTATTTCAGACTCCATGATGTTGGGAATAGGCTATTTTAGTCACTTTTTGACTTTTTTGCTAAAATAGTAGGAAAAAAAAACTAGTATGTTTAGGAATAACTTTTTGACTTCTTATAAAAAAAAACGTAATATTAAATAATGTAGAAATGTTAAATTATATATTTGCCCTTTGGAGATGTCACGTCAGCTTATGGAGGTGTCATGTCAAAGGTCCAAACATGGGACAATTTGGTATTTTTGCATATAAAACTTCCCAGGCAAGCTTGCCAGAGGTAGGGTAAAAAAAGTAAGTTTTTTTTTTAAAACCTTTTTGGCTATTGTAGATCATGCCAAACAAGGCCTATAGCAAAGTGTTTAACCTTTTTGGCCTTCCAAACACAGGGAACTTGGAATTGGGATAGTGGCATATAGCCCTCTTGGTCGTGGGTTCTTTGGTGGGAAGGCTGTTGTAGAGAACTTGCCTGCCGAAAGCGTGTTAGTATGTGACAAGACAATATACATATAATATATATATATATATAGAAAAATGCTATTCTTTTAGAATTTTTATACAGAATAATTTAACAGAATATTTTCTTGGTAGCATCTGAGTTTGATGATATAATATCGGTTTTTCAGTCTTCGCATCCAAGGTTCTCTGGGGAGAATTTAGAGAAAAACAAAATTCTATATGCCCGATTTGCAGACTTGGCAGCAAAACATGGCTGCAGCCCTCCTCAACTAGCTTTGGCATGGCTTTTCCATCAAGGAAATGATGTGGTTCCGATCCCTGGTATGTCATTCTCTCTTTCAGTAACCATCTTATGCTCTCTTTCAATATTATCCTAGGATTACTGAAATTGCTTGTGCTTGAAGGCACTTCATTATTCATGAAACAACACTAGCTGTTAGATTTATTTAATCTTAACCCTCAATCACAACAGGAGGGACTTGTTACCCAGCCTAAATGCCCACATTATGACTTCCGCACAAAACCAAGGAGTTTTTTTTTAACCAAACCCATGATTTTTTTTCCTTCTTAATGTTTAAATAGGTTTCCCTAACCAAGCAGTTTTGAACTTATTTTCCAAACTTATGTTATTTTGTGAAATCGTGTTTTCAAGATCTGACAAGACACAATTTCATCAAAGTCGTGTTAAAACTATTTTAAAGTTGTGTTTTGAAAACTTGATATCAGAAAACAACCTGGATTTGAGAAATGAGTTCAAAACGACCAATGTTTGAGAAATAATTTTTGAATGAACTCAGGTTTGATAAATAACTCCAAAATTAAGCATATGACTATGGTTTGGGATATAGCACTGTTTTTTGATTGATCAAATGTTTTCTACTTGCCATTGTGATTATGCAGGAACAACTAAGATTAAGAACCTTGATGCTAACATTGGATCTGTGGCGGTGAAGCTTACGCAGGAGGATTTGAAAGAAATTTCTGATGCAATTCCCATCGATGAAGTGACTGGAGTGAGGGAACTTGATTTCTTATCTAGATATACTTACAGGTCTGCAAATACCCTACCAAAAAAATAAGTTGGAAGAACACACATATTCAAGTTTGAAGCATCAACACTAAAATACTTATGCTCTGCTTTCTTGTTACTAAATGTTCTGTTCCTAAACACGATGAAAAACTTGAAAACAATACAAACTGTAAAAGAATTTCTGTTGCCAACAACAGATCACCTAGCGTTTGTAAAGTGATTGTCACTGTATGCCATTTGTTTTCTTAGTATGTTAGACTCTGCTTGGTTCTGCTTACCAGAGGATCAAAATGGTTAATAGCTAGAACAGTAGAAGGAGACGGCCAATGCGAGAGAATCCAGTTTTTGTGAAGTTAAGCGTGTTAGAGAAACTGAGCTACGCAAGCTTGATTTGAGGCAGTAAATGGCCTGTTTGAGACCGCTATCTCACAAGCCAAACTAAAATCCATTTTAAAGCTTCGCAAACATTTTAGCCAAGCTAATTTTTGGCTATGGAAGCTCATTAGCATCTCATAATAAAAGAACAGTTTAATACATGAGACTCTTACAATTGCAAGGCTACAGAAGGATCAGATACATGAGGCTTCTGCCATTACAAGGTTATAAAAGGATCAAATACACGGTTTTATCCATAGAGGTTGTTTGACCCAGAGAGGTTGTTTGACCCGGTGATGCCCAAGTAGCAATGAAATGATGTGCGAAGACCATCCCTCTATATCACACTCGTACTGAAACACAAAATGAAGCAGTTACTCAAGCTTGCGTGGAAATTGGCTTCACATAAATTTCATTTAAAAATTTCAGATATAAACAAGGCCAGCTGCCCCAATGTGCTGTTTACCATTGTACAGTTAGTTGAGAAACTAAAAAAAGCATTCCATATTCTAAGCATATTAGAAAGTTGGGAGTTCCATTAATAACCTACATGACTTCTAAGTCAGAAAATTGCAAGAACCATTATAAGAATTTTGAAATATTTTTTTATAGGGTGGATTACACTAAATAGTCCCTATAACTTGGGGGCTTGTGTCACTTTAGTATTTGACTTTTTAATTATGACATATTTAAATCTTAAATTTTGAATCTTGTTCAATTAAGGACAATTGAAGATATCATTAAATTTTTCAAGGGTAAAATCGTCAATTTGATAAAATATAAACTAATTTGACAAAAATAAATATCAAAAAAATATTTTTGAATTTTTAAAAATTATTTCTACCCACTAAAGATAAAATTATGTAAAATTGATAAATCTTTTAGACATTTATTTATTTTTTTCACTAAATTAATTTTTATTATGTGTTTGGATAATGATCATGTAAAATTAATTTTTAAAAATTAATCATGTAATTTTTATTGATTTTGATCAATTTTATATAATTTTATCTTTAGTGGATATAAATAATTTTTAAAATATTTAAAATATTTTTTTGGCATTTATTTTTGTCAAATTAGTTTATATTTTATTAAATTGACTATTTTACCCATGAAGTTAAATAATGGTATCTTCAATTGTCTTTATTTGAAACAAGATTCAAAATTCAGGGTCAAATGTGTCACAATTGAAAAGTAAGGGACTAAAGTGACACAAATCCCAAACTATAAGAATTGTTAGTGTAATTTATCCTTTTTTTTATACTTTAAGAATTAAATTGAAATATTTTTTTTATATATTAGGTTGAAATTAAATTGACACAATTTAATTATTAAGGAATAAAATGATACAAAACTCATACATTAGGATGAAACTGTAATTAACCTTTACAAAATAAAAATAAATTTAATTCATTTTTATTTTTAGGATTTATGAAGCAAATAATAAGGCAGTGGCTTCCCTCCAGTCCGATTTGAGAGTGCTATTAGGCTAGTGGGGCCCATCACAGGTCTCGTTTTAATAATTCGAACCATTCGATTATAGAACTTGTCGAGTATTATATACTTATAAAAAATCACGTTGATCGATATTAATAGCTATCTCATCAGATTAATTTTTCCGTCAACCATTTATTTTTTCACCGTTCATATTTTTTTATACAAAACTAATTTGATTACCTAACTATCGATATCCGATTTTTTTATAATACTTGACGAGTATACACATAAAACGATCCGTCTTATCGAAACGGGACCGTAATGAGCTCCTCCAAGCTCAACATATATCCTATAAAAAAAAATCCGATCTGTACTGGCGGGAGCCAGGCCCAATAATAAACTTGAAGGAAGTTTACAGATAGCAGTTTTAGGTGATTCCATCTGCAATGAAAATGAAAACAACACGACAGGGGGGAGAGAGAGAGAGAGAGAGAGACAGAAAGTCAGCAATTTCCCTCTTACCTATCTTCTTTTCCAACCATTCTATGCAAAGAAGTGTTCTTTTTCCCCTGAAGCATATTCAACTAAGCTTTGATTTCTTCCCAAGGAATGGAGCACAAGTCCCAAATCCAAGTCCCAAGAGTGAAATTGGGTACTCAAGGCTTGGAGGTAAAAAAAAAAAAAAGCTTTGTTTTTCTTTCCCAATCATGTGAACATGTTCAGTTTTATATGGGTTTTTTCTTATGTATGCTCAACAACTGTGAAAAATACAAGTACCATGAAATTCAATTGGCAATATCTAATTTTTAGAGTTGATTGGTCTCTATTTCTGTATAAGTCTAGAGCTAGATCACAAGAACACTGGAAACCTGATGTGGGTTTCACTAGTACAAATTTCAAACTTGTTTCTCATTCACCCAATTTTGATGGGGTTCATTACATAGACACCCTTCAATTATCATTTAATATTACTTAATCCTCAACTAAAACACCCAACAATTTGGACCTTTTCAATTATAAAAGTGAGTCAACCAACCGAGTTGGCTTTAGTTGGCCACTCTTATATACACTCGTAGCTGAGAGGTCAGGGGATCAATTGTTGTCAAAGACAAATATTGATTATTTCTTTCCCGTTACATATATATATATATATATATATATTTTTTTTTTTGGTCTTTCTTATATCATGTAGTGGTTGGTGGTGTTGGACTTACGGATGCGTATTGTTAGACTTTCTTAGATAGTTGATTGTCTAGTTTGTCATAATTGTTTTGATGTTTGTAAAATGCATAGTCGTCAAATTGTGAATCAAATATTGAATTGAAATGGTCTTGTATCGAATCGCGAATCCAATAGTGAATCGTGAAGATTTGATCACTTTTTTAAAATTACTTAAAAAAATATATCCACACACTTGAATGTTAAATATATCTTATAAATATAAATATTTAAACTGAAATTAACATTTTGAATGATGATCATGTGGTCAAATAGGTAAAAAGTTAACACAGGTTTCTGCGGAAGATTACCATCTTAGCTTTTCCTTTGTTTAGATATTGCTTATCAACCATTTTTAATAAAGAAAGTAAACAAAAATAAACTCTCGATTTTCAAGAAATAATAGCTTAACACCAATGTTGATATTTCATAAGCATGTATACCTTTACAAGTACGAACTACCCAATAATAAAAAAAAATTAATTGAAATTTTTTATTTTAAAACCTAAAACATTTTAAAAGGTATATATATGCTTATTGTTCAAATTTTTTTTTTTTAAGAACTTGCACAGAGCCATTAGGTTTAATTGACCTTACCCATGTAATATAAAAGTACATTTATTTTAATGAAATAGTAATAGATAATTCATATTGCAAGTTACTCTAACTTTAAACATCTTTATAAAACTCATTATAATTTTTTTTTTTTTAAGAAAAAAAATGAGAGGAAAATGTTTAAAAACATATTGGGTTTGATTGGACTCTATTGAAAACTCTCTAATCGCCAAAATAATAACAAATTATGTATATATATTAGTTAATTTCGTACTAAACACTATTAGTTGTATTATGTCATTTTAACTAAAAAAAGGAAGAAGAAAAAAAATCGAAATATGTCGCATATAATAGTTTCAAGAATTGCAAGAATCGTAAAAAGTAAATAATATTTTGAATCGATTGTGAATCGTGCGATTCACTTCCAAAATAGATTCATCTATAGATTCACATCGATTTAGGAAAAAATGCGAATCAAATCGTGAATTGAATCGTGAATTGTAAGATTTTGATAACATAGCTTGCGCCCCTCAAAAGGGGGGCATCGGTACAATTTTTATGATTGAGGGGTCCAAGTGTTGTAGGGTTTTTTAGTTGAGGGGTCAAGTGATGTTGAATGATAATTGAGACTGTTAATGTAAAATGTAAATTGTAAAATGTAAACTACCACCCACCTACCACCTCCACTACCACTCACTCCACATACCACCTCCACTATCACTCACTCCACCTACCACCTCCACTACCACCTACACCTACTACCATCTTCTCCTCTATATATATAGGAATTGTAATATACAGATATATCAATTCAATACACATCAATCATAATACATATAATTTATTCTCTGTAATTCTCTCTCTATCAATTTATTCTTACAGAGACGGTGTCTGTGTAATTAACCCCTTTAGATAATAGAAAAATATCTCCTTATGGTTTCTGCTGGTCAATTTGAGAATGGAGTTTTGAAATTTGATCTCTCATCTGCAAGCTGTAAAATTTGCATGGAATTTCTTGAACGTAAATTGTATTGAAAAACATTCTTCTTTTCTATTGGTGATTCAATCCCTATTTTACTTGAATAAACTAAAAGAACAATCATATCACTTATACAAAGAAGGGGTTCATCTGAGTTTTCGTGGATATAGTTGAATCCTCAGCTGTATCCATACTAGAATTTAGTAGTCTTGTGTTTGGTGGCCTTGAATGATATGTAAGGATGGCACTGCACCAAGTGCTACCTTGGACTCTGATGATAACTACATAGATTGAACTGCTTGGGCCTCATTTGGATGTAATTGAGAATTTTTCAATTGTGAAACTACATCTGAGTGCCACTGAGAATTGTGAAGTTCAAATTTTTGCAGACAAAGGTATAGAACAGGAAGCAAAAAATTCTCAGAATTGTGAAAACAGAGAATAGAAGTGTTTTCAAGTATAAATTGTGGATCTTGTGTTTAGTGTTTGTGAAGTGGCTTTTTTTAATTGGCTTTTTAACTTTTTACAAAAAGGGGTGTAGAAATGTAGAGAGAATGACATGATTGAATGTTTTGACTTTTTGGCTATTTTAACCAAAAAACCAACACCCCAAACTAGTTAAGTTTATTTTGAAGCACGGTAGTTCAGACAACTTTGGAGTTGGACAAGTACATATAGATTTTGCCAAAAATATATATGTCCTTAACTGTACTTGAGAAGTGCAGTACATTTTACTGATCATGAAAAGTTCTCAGCTGAGTTATGCTTTTGCTCAGACCTAGGAGATCATATGAAAATCAAAGGTAGTGTTAATATATGTTTGGTTGTGTTTTTGTTTTTAGGTTTGTTTATTTTTTTTATTTTTCAAAAACACAACTCATTTTGAGGAATTAAGGGTGGTTTGGGATGTTCTAAATAAGTGCATTTTTTGACTTTTTATAAAAAAATGTGTAGAAAAGTAGAGAAAGTGGGTAGAAAAGTAAAGAGGAGATGTTGATTGATATGACCCAAATAAGTGTATGTATGCAAAAAAAGTACACTTTTTTAGTGCATGCCAAACACCTACTTAGTTCTGAAAAAACAACACATTTTTAGGGAACACCCAAAAGGTTTAGAATGTTCAATAACTGCTTTTGCACAAAAATGAGAACAATACAAAAATAATTGATATTTTCAAGCTACACAAAAAAAAGATAATTGGCTTATTCTCTTAGGTTTTGGATTTGCACATGATAAGCGAAGAGTTTGTGCTAGCCTAGTTGGGATGTGCTCTTTTGCATTGATGCTCTTCTCTTAGCCTTCTCTCGTTGATACTCTTGATGTACCGATTCTACTCATTTTTTACATCCGTGAATTTTATTTGCCAATATAAAAATTAAAAAAACAAAAACAAAGAAAACCAAAGAAGAACCAAACATTTCCATGTGACGATGTCCTTTCTGTCCTGCAGGTTTCTAGATTGGGCTTTGGAAGTGGAGGACTTTCTGGAATACTAAATGCTCCACTCTCCCATGAAGCTGGATGTTCAATTTTAAAGGAGGCTTTTCATAAGGGTATCACCTTCTTTGATACAGCAGATGTCTACGGACAAAATCATGACAATGAGATCATGATCGGCGAGGTTAGTTTTCATTTTCTTTTTTAGCTCAAACCTGACATGGAAAGGAAAATGAATGTTAAATGACCATGTAGTAGTAGGGACCAATATTTTCCAAATGTTTATTGGACTAATTAATTACATAGAGGCCGTTTGGCAAAGCTTTTGAGTGGCAATGTTTGGATTGTAACTTTAAAAAAGTTGGTGGAAGATGTTAGACACAACTTATTGTGTTACCTAAGAAGCACGAACACAGACACATGACACACTGACACGTCAATTTTCAAAAAATGCAAAACACAACACGTGGAGGACGGGAAAAAAAAATGGTTTTATATATTTATTATATATTATATGATATTAATATTTCATTCAAAGATAATAAAAAAATTGCAATATAACACTAATTCTTCATGTTTAAAGGAAGAGGAATTAATGTGTATAATGTATATTGTTTTTCTTTGATAATTGTATTTTGTTCAAATTTATAATGTGTGTAAAATTTAATGTATAAAGAGAAATAGAGAGAGAATAAATTGTATGTATTATTGATTGATTTATATTGATATATATTACAATGATTCATGATTCCTATATATAGAAGAGGGTGAGTGTGTAGTAGGTAAGGAGTAGGTGAAGTGGAGGTGGTAGTGGTGTAGTGGGTTAGGTTTAGTGGAGTAGGTGAGGTGGTAGTGGTGTAGTGGGTTAGGTTTAGTGGAGTAGGTTTAAGTGGGTGAAGTAGGTGGAGAGTGGGTGAAGTAGTGGGTTAGGTTTAGTGGAGTAGGTTTAAGTGGGTGAAGTAGGTGGAGAGTAGGTGGATTTTAACAATGTGTCATGTGTGCCTGAGCGATGGACGTGTGTTTCCCGAGTGTTTGAAACATGTTTGGTTCTACAAGATTAAACAAAATAAGATGTCACATTTGGACATGTGTTCAACAAATGTCGAGAAGTGTTCTACGAATGTGTGTCGGACAGAGACACAACACGGACACACCTTATGTCCATGCTTCTTAGAATTCGACTTATATAGCTTGATCAACTTATTTTTAGCAAAAAATGCTAGCTTTTTAAGCTACAAAAGGGGGTACCTTCCCAGCTTAATTCTTTTAGCTCTCGGTTATTGAACAAGAAGGTCCCTCAATATTTTCATAATTATGGGTGTACCCCTTTAAAAAAAATCTTGATTTATATAATAAGGATTTGTAGCATGGGAATCAGAAAGTGAAGAAGAAAAGGAAGCATAAACCACAATATTGACCTAATATTGAAGTCAGTATATTAGAGCAGCTAGCTGTGTTTATTCATATGGCAATAGATTATATTCTGAATTCACAATATGCTTGATATGGTGTGTGACCATGGCAAGTTGGTTGAGATACTCATCTCCTGGATGAAATGCGCTCCCACTTGCATTTTATTCTTGAATTATCAAAAAAATGCCTTTTCCCGTTTCAGGCACTGAAGCAGCTTCCTCGAGAAAAAATTCAGTTAGCCACAAAATGTGGCATTAGCTCGGTTGATGGGATTCATGTTGAGATCAAGGGTAGCCCTGATTATGTGCGACAATGCTGTGAAGCGAGTCTCAAACGGCTTGATGTGGACTATATTGATCTTTTCTACACGCATCGTGTGGATTTGTCAGTGCCGATTGAGGATACTGTAAGCACGAGAGAAGACCTATTTTTACTGTTATTAATTTGTAATTAATTTTATTCTCGTTTTATCTCATAGTAGATTGCAGTAAATCATTGACTTGGTTTGCTTTGAATTAATGCGAGGAAGATGGGGGAGCTCAAGAAGCTAGTGGAGGAGGGAAAAATAAAATACATTGGATTATCCGAAGCCAGTGTAGACACCATAAGGAGAGCACACGCAGTTCATCCTATCACTGCCGTACAAATGGAGTATTCTCTGTGGACTCGTGATATTGAAGAGGATGTACTTCCACTTTGTAGGTTAGTGGATATTGGACCCTTTTTGTTGCATTACAAAAACAAAAGCTAAACCAACTGTGAGTTTGGGACTGTCTCAATTGGACAAAACCCCTGCACCTCACTAGGAGGCAAAGGTTTCAAGTCTTTCCATATGCAAGACTCCCCCGTTCCCTAGGCTACGACCTATAGGGGTGTAAGTGGTTTGGTTTTGTCGGTTATACAGTTTCATGTAAATGGTGGATTCACAAGACGTTTTAAGGGCTTTATAAAAATCTATAGAATCCTACATGGGGAATAAATGAAGAGAGATGGTGAAGATGCTTTGTAAATGTCTCTCTCCCTCCCTAACCTTTATTGCAAAAATGTGTGGAATTTGTCATTTATCTTCTAATACTCAAAAATTTAGAACATGAAAAATATTTAAATATCATATTTCAGTCAGTTTGGTTGGTATCAATGTAGATTTTTAAAAAATTCAAATAGATTGTATCTTATGAAAAACCAAAAGTTTGATCAGTCTCGGGCAGTCTGTTCAATTCTGTAGGTCAGTTTTCTTACAGTCCTAACAACCTCAGATGCTATGATCTTCAACTTATTTCAGACTCAAAGATGTTGAGATTATTGCAGAGTGTTTAACCTTTTTGGCCCTCCAAACACAGGGAACTTGGAATTGGGACAGTGGCATATAGCCCTCTTGGTCGTGGGTTCTTTGGTGGGAAGGCGGTTGTAGAGAACTTGCCTGCAGAAAGCGAGTTGGTATGTGACAAGACAATATACATATAATATAAATATATAGAAAAATGCTATTCTTCTAGAATTTTTGTTCAGAATAATTTAACAGAATATTTTCTTGGTAGCATCTGAGTTTGATGTTATAATATCGGTTTTTCAGTCTATGCATCCAAGGTTCTCTGGGGAGAATTTAGAGAAAAACAAAATTCTATATGCCCAATTTGCAGACTTGGCAGCAAAACATGGCTGCAGCCCTCCTCAACTAGCTTTGGCATGGCTTTTCCATCAAGGAAATGATGTGATTCCAATCCCCGGTATCTTATACTCTTCTTCAATATTATCCTAGGAGTAGCGAAATTGCCTGTGCTTGAAGCACTTCATTATTCAAGAAACACCACTAGCTTTTAGATTTATTCAATCTTAACCCTCAATTACAACACAAGGGACTTGTTACCCAGCCTAAATGCCCACATAATGACTTCTGCTTAAAACTAAGGAGTTTTTTCTTTTTTTCTTTTTTTTTTAATACCAAACCAATGTTTTTTTCTTCATAATCTTTAAATAGATTTCCCTAACCCAACCAGTTTTGAACTTATTTTCCATACTTACGTTAAATTCAAAACCCAACAAAACACATGACTTCATTAAAGTTGTGTTAAAACTCTTTTTAAGCTGTGTTTTGAAAACTTGATATAAGAAAGTAGCTTGGGTTTGAGAAATAAAGTTCAAAACGGCCAGTGTTTGAGAAATTTTTTTTGAATGAACTAGGGTTTGATAAATAACTCCAAAACTAAGCATATGACTATGGTTTGGGATTTAGCGCAATTTTTTGATTGATCAAATGTTTTCTACTTGTCACTGTGATTATGCAGGAACAACTAAGATTAAGAACCTTGATGCTAACATCGGATCTGTGGTGGTGAAGCTTACACATGACGATTTGAAAGAAATTTCCGATGCAATTCCCATTGATGATGTGAGTGGAGTGAGGGAATTCGATCTCTTATCTAGATATACTTACAGGTCTGCAAATACCCCACCAAAAATATAACTTGGAAGAACACATCTATTCAAGTGTGAATCATCAACACTAAAATACTTATGCTATGCTTTCTTATCTTCTTGTTCCAAATTTTATGTTGCTAAACATGAAAAACTAGTAAACAATACAGAGTATAAAAGAATTTCTGTTGCAAACGAACAAGAGCACCTATCATTTCCTATGCAATGTGATTGTCACTGTATGCCATATATTTTCTTGATGAGTTAGACTGTGTTTGGTGCTGCTTACTTGATGTTCAAAATGGTTAATGGCTACAACTGTAGAATGAAGAAAAGCCAATGTCAGAGAATCCAATATGTTTCGTTTGATTTTTTTAAAAACTGTTTTTAGATGGGTTTTAGTTTGTTTTAATGATTTTTTTCTTCTTATTTTACTCTCTAAAAAAAAAAAAAAAACCCTTAAATGCATATGATTTAGATGCATTTAAAAAGTTTTAAAAAATGACTAAAATATGAAAAAAGAAACAGCTATTCAAGCTTGAATGAAATTGGCTTCATATGAATTTCATTCAACATTAAAGAGACAAACGAGGCTAGGAGCTTCTGCAGAAAATCTTGAATTTGTTTGGGATTCAGATTTTGGAGCTCCATATTCATTCTCCCTCAAAAAAATATTCAAAGAGATGGAAACAAAATGAGTTGAGCTTTGGAATGTTTTGAATTCGGCTCATTAAGAATTAATCAAATTCAAGCTTGAGCTGAGCTCAAAAAATCAAGATCGAGCTTGAACTTAAAAGAAAAATTCAAACTCAGATTAATTTTCATATTAGGAGAAAAAAAAAATTATGAGCAAAGTATAAAAGAATACTCATATTAATAATAATTTGGGCACTCGGGCCAAAAGTCCAAATTTCAATTTTATTTCACTAAAGGTTCAGGTGTTGAAACACTTTGTCCATAAGGACATGGTTAAGCAAAATGACCAAAATACGCCTCTATAGATAAAACTAACTCTCTCTCTCTCTCTCTCTATAGCTCCTTCGCCCTCACGGTCTCACCGTTGCGGTCTTGCCATCGTTGTTACGGTCTCGCCGTTGTGGTCTCGCCGTTGTGGTCTCGCCATCGCCGTCACAGTCTTGCAGTCGCGGTCTTGCTGTCTCGTATGAAATATTTCCTCTCTCTCTCTCTCTCTCTTCTCCACTGTGTTTCTCTCTTCTCTCTCTCTTAAGTTCATGATTGACGAATAGTGCTGGCGGAGCGCAGTGAAACAGAGATGGGTGAGTTGAAATCCGCCGTGCACAGTATGCCAAAGAAATCAATCATGAGGGAGACGATACTCTTAGATCCACTCCCTCTCTCTCTACATATATGTATATGATGATGGACTTCTATATATTTGTATAAATATCTATGATGTCTCACACACAAACAAATGAATGAATCTTATTTCAAACAATATAACAATACAATCTGTGGGTTTTATCTCCCACCTCTCTATCTTTCAAACCTCTTATGGGTTTCTTGATTTATTGATTTCTATAACAACAACCTAACCATCTATTTATAGGTTTCTAATCCTTGTATCAAACATGTGTGAATTTACAGATGTGATTTTGAATTTAATTTCTTACCTTCTAAGTTTCTGACTTGGTGAGTTTCAACAATGGAGTGTCACGACCCAAATCCACCCATATAGGTTCAGCGTCGTAACCGGTCAGTAATCCTTAGATTACCGAAAGCCTCTGAACAGAATAACATGCAAATATGAGCTGCGGAAGCAAATGTACAAAATATACGTAATCCATTGAGCTATGCTAACATATATGGGACAGAGATTTAAAACTTATATACATAATATCAAACTTCTTTTACATCATGCCTTGACATATAGATAGTGTCTTAAGGGACTTAGCCTACAAAAACAAAGTAAAACAAAACAGAAACTTCTTATCATGGTTCATAGAATCAGACGGGAACCTCCCCAGGAGGCACAGTGGCTGGCTAACCCAAAAACTCTCCAGGTAGCAGCTTAGACCTGGTCACGTGTCTACTCACCTACATACATAATATAAACAGTTAACAGAAGCCCAGTGAATAATAACATAGTAAAGAGGTTAAATGAATGATGTCCCACAACTAATTCAATAAACAAAAACAAATTCATAGTCACATTCTTGTACGAGTCATAACAGCAATCAAAATTCATACTTAATCTCACATCTGTTAGCGTTAATAGATCACATACAGAGTATCAAAGATCATACTTGTCAATTCCATAAAGGAACCTCCGACCAGGTATAAATAACTTGTCAGTTCCATAAAGGAACCTTTGGACTGGGAACAGACAACTTGTCAGTTCCATAAAGGAACCTCTAGCCGAGTGCAGACAACTTGCCAGTTCCATAATGGAACCTCTGGTCCAGGTACAGATAGCATACTTGAACCACAAAATCAATGCCACAAATATTTGTCAGAATTGGACAATCATTCATTATGCAGAACATAACATTACATAAAATAGATCTTATTCCATATACAGAAAATACATAAAATTGAACATAGCTTTACTACGTTATTACTCATAGTTGGCTCCAAAGCAAACAAACAGAGTAGGTGTAGACACCCCATTTTTTACCGTCCTCAAAACTTGGACGTCATCGTTTGAACACTCGATGATCATCCATGTTTGTGTTCGTTTTGAGTTCCCGGAGGTCTCGGTTGCGCGCCTTGCCTTAGGATCTCTCAACTTGACTGTTTTGTGCTTGGCTGGACCAAGGACTTGTGGTTTTTGCACCTGAGGGTAGGAAGTGGCTTGTTGGCTACCCCCCTTAACCCCACCGACCATGGCCTGAGGCCACCAGCCTTGCTTTCTTGCCACCGGCCAAGTGCATTGGCCGATCGGCACTTTATTTAGTCGGTCGGCCATGGTGTTGGTCGACCGGCCATTTTTTGCTGGCCAAACCCTGTTCATCTGCTTTATGCAGATATTTTGTGCCAGCTGGCATAGACCCTATCCTCCATACACTATGGAGGATTTTGAACCTTTGTTTTAGCTTCTTGAGGAAGCTTGAACCTTTTGAACCTTTATTTTAGCTTCTTGAAAAAGCTTGAACCTTTTGAACCCTTGTTCTAGCTTCTCCAAAAGCTTGAACCTTTTGCTCTAGCTTCTCCTAGAAGCTTGAACCTTTGCTCTAGCTTCTCCAAAAAGCTTGAACCCTCTTGTTTCTCTATAAGAGAGGGCCTCCCTCTCCTTTAGAGAGGTTGAAAAATTTGTCTAAGGCACAAGAGATATATCTCTCTATATCTTTATATTTTGGGTTCAAAAGAGTGAGATTCTTGGCTCCTTTGCACACCACCTCACAACCACACACCTCCACCATTCATCTAACGTTCTTGGAGTGTATTTTCAAAGATTAAAGAGCTGGTTTTTGGTCCAAGAACCCACTGGTTTTGCTGAGCTACAAGGGTAACTCATTTTCTCTCTTTATTTCCCATTTTTGCACAAGATTTTAGCCTATCTTGCATGCTGTTTTGAGCTTAGTGTATAACTGATAAAAGTTCTGTTTTTTCATGTTTTTAATCTTTGTTTAAGATCACTTTTGTATTTGGGTTTGTTTACCCCCTCTTAGGCCTTGTTTGGCCTCATTTTGTGCATTTTTTATGAGCTTCGGGACCACTTTGTATTGGCCTTTTCACCACTGAAATCCAGAGGGATTTCAGTGGTGGGGATGGAGTTTTGAGGTCCTAAGAAGGAGAGGGTCATCCCCTCTCCTTTGTTGTCTTGTTTACTAGCATATTTGGCCTATCAAAGGAGCATATGTTTATATCATTTAGAGGCCTATTTCAGGCACTTTTTGATGACTTTTCGAACCTGCCTAGCCTCTGTTCATGGCTGGTTTGGTCTCCTTTTATTTGCCTCTTGCATGTGTAGAGTAATCCCTTTCATAGCTTATCAAAGTAGCACATCATTCTTGCATGTATTGGCCTTGTTTCAGTGGATTTTTGGCCATCATTTGGCATGCCATGAATCTTTTTTGGCTGGTTTGGTGGCCCCTCACATGCTTCATAGGCTTGTAGTGTAAATCATGCTTACTAGCTCACATTGCATGTTGTTTTGGCCCTCTATTCTAGCACCTTTTGGCCACACTCCAAACATGTTTTGTTCATATTTTGGGTTGCCTTAGCTCTGTTTTTAGGCCTCTTGGTCGATTGGTGCTTGCCATGCATGGTTGTAGTGTAATAGCCTTGCTTACCTTTGAGTTTTGGGGTCTCTTGCATGTGTTGGTTGAGGCATTTTAGTGTTTTGGCATCATTGAATGCAATATTTCAGAGTTTATAGGTGTGCCATATTCTCTTGTTTGTCATGCCTTCAATGTCTTTGAGAGTTGTGCTTTTATACCCCATTTGTGAGCCATTGCATGAGCATCATTTTTGTGCACTTCAAGGCATCATCTTAGTCCATTTTGCCACTATTTTGGGCCTGCATAGGGGCTATTTGGGGTTGGTTTGGTCATTCGAGTATCGCTTTGCATACCTCTAGTGTAATGTGCTTCACTAGTTTCGGTATTTGAGCCTTCCTATATGCATTGTGTGAGTCGTTTGCATGATTCGGAACCATTTTGTATGTCATTTCAGAGCTGGAATATATGCCATTATATGCCATACATCATTTTTTCAATGCACTAGGAGAGTTGCATCTTGTGCTATGAGTTAGAGCCCTTGCACCTTGCATGTTTTCATGTGTTTTGTTGCCTCATTTCCATCATGTTTGGCCATTGATTTTAGCATGCTTGAGAGCTACCTATGTTAGTGTAAGTCCATCTCACCATGTTGGTGCATGCTTGTTTTATTTTGCATGTTGTTGCATGCTATACATGTTCACATGTTTAGGTTGTATGCCTATTGCCTATTGCATGCTTGTGTTGCTTTGTTAAGTTCATCATGCATGTATTACATTGGTCTAAGTAAACTTGTCTTTGCATGTTATTGAATGTTAGCCTATTGACATGTTGTTGCATGTTCATCCATCTTGCATACTTGTTAAGTTACATGCTTGTTTGCATGCTTGTCTTTGCATATTGTTATATGCTAGTTGCCTTGTATAGCATTGTTGCTTGCATGCTGATATTGCATTACTTTACTTGTATGCTTAGGTTGCATAGCATTGTGTGCGCATCCCTTGCCTCTTGAATCAATCATGATAGAGGTTGGGGCCCTTTTGTGTTTTTGTGCATTTCATTTG